ACCAAAAATAAAAACTTTTAATTTAAATTTCTTTAAGTGGTCTGTTGAATTTTCTTATAAATAAATACTATTATTCCACAAGTGAATAAATGACTAAATGACAAAAATTTTAAAGTTACACTTTCCTAAATTATGATTTTTTCGTATATATAAATGTAAAATGCAATATTTGTACTGTACACAGACCTATATTGTACCGTGTTTTAACAAATATGCGTATCTTTCTTTATTTATTCATATAAAAGATAATTTAACAAAGGGATGGGAAGGGTGTAAACAAAAGGTTGGCAGTTGTTCATAAATCGTTACGTCCTCGAGGTTAAGGGAAATAAACTGGTGGCATTGTCCCCGCACTGATAGCTTCGAACGATGATTATAGGTTCAAAGTACGATACGAGTAAATACAAGCGTGTGATGCAACGCTCATGCACATTCGTATATCAACGGATGCCCACCAGTGAGTAAACTTGCCGGTATTGCTTAATTAACCTTTAATGAACCTACTTGCAAACAAATTAACACAAAAGGAGTGCATAGCCATAAATGAAACCAATTTTGCGGATTTGTCGCGTTTATTTTAACGGACAATCTGTCCCGTGACCATGAACGCGGTAAATGGTTCGAAACGTCGGGAATTAAAATTAACATAATTTTTAACAAAAAAAAAACGACTTCAATCAGAAAGTTAAAAACATTGTTAATTACTATAACGTTCAATGATGGCACTCGATATCTCTGGTATGCCATCATCAGATCCAGGGTTTCCTTATCATGGTACCTACCTTGGGATATCTCCTTTCCGACAAAAAAATAATCATCAATATCGGTGCATAAACGACGAAGTTATCCATGAACACACATAAAATATATATATATATATATATATATATATATATATATATATATATATACACGGTCGAATTGAGAAACCTCCTTTTTTAAAGTCGGTTAATAAACGCGATAAATACGTAAAATCAGTTTCATTTATAATATTATATTATATTATTTAAATAATTAATTAATAATTACTATTTTAAACAAATAAATCAATTGAACAATTTCAAATAAGAACATACATTCTTTGTAAGCCAATACATCTGTAATTCTTTACGTAAATACAAAGAAAATGAATTGCAATATGGATCGGTGACCGAAGCTCGCCTTTGTATATGTAGGATACATTGCATGAACTTCGCCCGAGTTTCAAATGACCGCATAAATTCTATTGTTAATGTTATTTAAATTGTATTCACAGGCACAATTTACACCAAGAAATTCTACGGCTCAGAGACATATATCAGATACATATATAGTAAACTTAAACAATACTTTCACAATTTAATTTAATTGATTTCAGTCAAAAACTGACGGAACAAAGGCACGCCAATATTTACGTTTATTTTAAATAAAACTAATGTTGACTATTAATTTTATATGAGCACAACTATTGTACAGAAGTAATATGACGATTGACTAGATATTAATAATCAATGTTTTAGTTGTGCGCAAATATTAACAAATCATTCGGACGTTTGGGAGAGGAAGAAAATTGGATTAAAATATTTTATTACACAGTTACTTTGACACGTCTCTTATAAAATCGTACTAAAATCATTATGTTCAAGTTGCGATACTTGGAGTTAATGTTTTTTTATGTAAAAAATATCAGAATAAAATAAAAACTAAGCAAAAAGAATACGTTATACAGACGATCCATACAAAAAATGTATTGATTGAGGACAGTAAGACGTATAGAAGCTGAAAGGAGTTGCAGAACCAAGCAGAGCTTTCCTGCGGGATCACGGTACGTATCGTGCTACAGTCAAAGCTGATGCGTGATTTTTACCCCAGTTTCAAAATTTTTATTTGTAAACATTTACCTAACGCGTTCTCCTTCCTAATCTACCAGTGATTTTTGATACGATGATTTTGTTCAACCAAAATAATCCACGGTCCTTCTGCATCTTTTATGAAAGAGAGTTATGTTCCCAATCCAGAGGTTGTAAAGATTCATCTAATACTTAAAACATGGTAAGGCGAGTATCCGCTTGTCGTTTATAGTTCTGTTTTCAAAGTTCTTACTAAAACTTGAAATCTGTGACGTAATCTACGCCACTTGACAATAATTTTACTTGGCTATTGTGGCCGCGTCGGTTTTTGTCGGAAAACTGCTGTATTCATTATTCAAAACCGCTTAATTCACACCAGTGATCGGACATCAAAAGGCCACTAATTACGATACTAGACAATGACGACTTTGTAAAGTCAATATGCATTTTGAGCAAACTCTATATTGTGTGACCGGTTCATGTGCGACGGGTTTTGCTTATTAACGTTTGAACAAGAAAATACACTGAAGTATTTATTTAACACGGTTTGTTGGAGCAATTTTCGAATATTAAACGCTGTTGTAGATAAGAAAATAATGTATCTTTCTTTTTCACGTATGATACCATTTGTTCGGTTGCGATGAAGCATTGGAAAGTTAATTTACGTATTTTAATAAAAAACACCAGACATTTAAATGAAATTCAGACATAATAACTTTGTTAACTGTTGTGTATTTGCAAAATTACACCGCCATAATTAACGCTTACGTCGGTATAAAATAAACTAAACTAAGGTAAAAAAGAGACAAGGACTCGGACGAATTAAACAATAAAGTTGTTACTCGCATACAAAAAACATTAAATGATAACAAAAATTCACGATTAACGTCTTAATGCACCTTTTTTTTTTGTATCTTCGTCTTGAAACTGACTGAAAGGATAGAAAACGCTAGTTTACACTTTATAATTTAATTAGAATTTTCTTAGTGATACGCATTATTAGATATTACTAGGTGACCCGGCAACTGTTGTTTTTCCATTTAAATTAATAGTAGGGTAGAAAAAAAATTAAGGGTGGACCACCCTTAACATTTAGGGGGATGAAAAATAGATGTCGTCCGATTCTCCACCCTGGCATTCACGAAAATCGGTCGAGCCGTTTCGGAGGAGTTCAATTACAAACACCGTGACACGAGAATTTTATATATTGGATTGTAAGTATTAAAGTTTTGAACAGTTTGTCTAACACGACATAATTCGAAGATCATGGATATAATACTTGTATAATTAACGTCGCAGTAATTTATGTTACAATCAATTCACGATTAATAATCACTCAAGATGCATTACAGAAGCGAGTTGGTGTGTTGTTTCCAATTCTAAAGCAACTTGTATAAGAAAAGAATCGCCTAGACACAGTTGTTTAAGCTTGCCGTCGGAACTAAGAATGGCGTATTTCCTTTTGTGATTCTTATTGGCCGCCAAAGCTCGCTACTAATAACATTTGTTACTAGAAATCTATGAAATGTTCAAAGCATTAGAGCTATGTTAACTGGTGAGCTGGATTGTATATTAGGGCGATGAACGCACTCTTGGCCACTTCATTCTTTTCATTCCTCACTTCGGTCTTCAGCAGTGACCTTAGTGGTCTACCGATACCACCGTTACAAAGAACCGAGTCATTGAACTCAACTATGCTCTTTATTCATATAATGAAGGTCGACGATCATAAATTGCGTAGTTATAAAATAGATTAAAAGATAAACGTATCTCGAGGAAGTATAGCGCCTTTATTATGTTAATATTTAATTTACGAGTATTAGTTATTTTCATTAGTGTTGCCAGAGTTTTCGTCTACTGTTTAGTATAGGTTGTTTTCAATGATTGCATCTCGATTTCCTAAATTTTTCTTTAATCGATCAAAACTTTCTATATTGATTTGTTGCAATACTCTGGCATTTGGATGCAATGATGTTTAATAATAATATATATGACGCACAATGATATTATATACAATATATATGACACCAGCGTACCGAAACTGAGGCGGTCAAATTACGCCAATTGGTGTAATTCTATAAGTTCTATATTATCTATCACATTCATATATATGTTATATAATGAAAAGCGAAATAATTTTATAATAAAAAAATGGTCATGCGTCATTTATATTATTAAACATCATTGGATTCAATGATTTGGATGCATTTGAATGGATTATGAGGCGAGAGAAACTTGGAAGAAAAAAACCATTAGTCGATTCCCAAATGGTATGTGATACAGAATAGAATTTCCCTAGATGTGTCACAATAGATACAAGTAGAGGTGCGAATATTTGATGGCCCTATAACTAAGTAAATATCACATGAGAGTCAAGCATTCATGGTCCTCCAGGTACTCTGTATATAAGAGCCGTGATGGCTCAGTGACGGGCGGTCGCCATTAATTCAATATACTCGAGCAACCTGAGTTCGATCCCCGGGCCCGGCACCAACGAAATTGTTAATTTTAAGTGCCGAATTAGGCAATCCCCATTGAGGCCGCGTGGTGGATTATGTCCTGATACCCTCTGTACAGAAGAGGCTTTTGCCCAGCAGTGGGACATATATAGGCTGATACTTTACTTTTTCTCTTAACATATATATAACGATTATTTTATTAAATATTAGCAAAGCTTCAAGGCCAAGGTTGTACACGTTACATAATCGACATTGGTTAGTCCGGAAATTAAAAAAGAAATATTGTAATAAATCAAATATTTCCAAGGTTCCTCATATAGTTTCTACGTATAAACTAAGAACACATTTTTTTCTTCTAAAAACAAAAGCATTGTCTTGTATTTCGAAATAATATCTTGTTGGCAACGAAACATTTGAAATATATTAATAAGGGGTGTCGAGTTTTCTAAATTAGCCGGCTCAAATATACGTATGAATTGGTTTAAATACATTATCGCAACCTAAGTATAAAAGACACTACCTAAAGGTGGGAAAAACCCGACTGTCGTAGGGGGTAGTGAACCTGCCTTTCTGGGGATCGAACCCACGACGCCCGGCGGCGAAGCTAAAACATTAGCGATTGGGCCGCGGGGCTATACGAGTGAGAGAGTACCCCCCTAATACATAGAACCTTTTAAAGCAGTGGCACAACAATGTGTATGCGGGTACTTACCCTGGACAAGGGGGCGCAGCGAGCGCACGCCAGGCCGGCTGGTGGGCGGCTGGGCGGCTGCGGTGGCGGCACCACCGGCCCTTCCTTCACTCTGTACAGAGCTGACGTTCTAGACTGCAAAGAAACGTCCACCGTCAAAACCAAGTTAGAAACGTATAACCAATCAAGTGCGTTCTAGGAGGTCGGTGATTTATATGTCTTCCCGAATTAGAAGAAACGCAGGGCTAGCATTCCTAGGACACAACCCCCCGTTTTTACAGGTAGTGCAAAATGATACGCCATTTTACTTACAGGTGTGCGAAAATAATTAAAAATAACAATTGATCGGGATTTTAAAATTAAGTAAAACATGTTTAACTAAGAGAAGAGCACAAACGTGTTGAACACTCGAAATGCTTCATTTCGCTCAAGGTTCTATGCCCAAGAAATTTGCAAATGTGCGGCAACGCATGAGTGGCAATATCTTATTATAAGTATATTAAAGTGGATCTGAATGGCTTAACGATCACAGTCAACCCGGTTAAGTAAGGAATGAGAGCTTGTAAGGTGACAGAACTAAAGCGCCGATTCAAAAAAGTGTAAAATAGTGTTAAAAATTAAAGTTTTAGCGTCCATTATTGAAGATACTAATACTATCCATCCATCCAATCTATATAATAATAGTATCCACACACATAATAAGATATGCAAAAATACCTAACATTTTTATAACTGATCATATTAGTTCGCGTTTGCATCATCACTGAGATGTAATCTTTTCAACATGTTAAAGTTTATCGCATAAAAATATAAAGCACATTTGGATATTTTGACTTCTGATATTGTGTATGCGGCAATAATTACTTGCTTTCCTAAATTATCATTATAAATAGTCGACTTTTAGACGACCTGGCTTATTTACAGCAAAAGTCTTATCAGGGTCAAAGTCAAGGTCAAATATTTTCAATATATTATTTTTAGCATTAAAACATGTAGAAAAAGTACGCAAAGGATTGTCACCGCTGTGGGAATAGAATATCAGTTTTAGGTCCACAGAATATGCTCGTCTGATTTTAAATAAAATGCTATATAGAATAAAATTTTCATTTTTTAAATGCCTGTCTGACGTCTACATGTAAAAAAGAGTAAAAGTAAAGTAACAGCCTATACATGTCCCACTGCTGGGCAAAGGCCTCCTCTATACAGAGGGTATCAGGGCATAGTCCACCACGCGGCCCCAATGCGGATTGGCGGACTTCACATATCTTTGAAAAATATTTTTTTTGTTACTATTTCGAAAATATGCAAGTTTCCTCACGATGTTTTCCTTCACCGCGGAGCACGTGATAAGTCAGCACTTAAAGTTAAAAACTTCATTGGTGCCGGCACCGGGGATCGAACTCAGGTTGCTCGAGTATATTGAACTAAAGGCGAGCGCCCGGACACTGAGCTATCACGGCTTACATGTAAAACAACATTTAATTGATAGTTTGACACTAAGGTCTGGGCCCCAGTAGACTCCATTAAATGTTCAATCGACCCTCAATCCCTGAGCGAAGGGGTCGCAAGTAAATGGCTAATCACTGTCGTTTTGGATACCCGCCTAAACTGATCATAGATTCGGCGAATATTCATCTAGGACCATGTCACTGCTTACCATCATGTTGGTAAACACCGGCCGGTAGAGAATGCCACTAGGCATAAAGTCCATCCATTTTAGCCCCTTGCTTAAATATATAAATTAGTTGGGGTGGTGGTCAAGAGGGAAGATACTCACTGCGATCTCGGCGTCCAGTTTGGAGTACAAGTCGTTGTGGTTTCTGCGTCGTGGACGGACAGCTTGCCTGAGGGAAGCGTCCCTGCCACACCAGCCGCCGACTCGTTCTCCGACCACCTCGAGCATGTCTGCTACCCGGCTGCCGGAGAAGAGACCGAGTCACATACATACGGAACAACAATGGCTACTGTCGGCAACATGTAATATTATATAATAGACTGGTTTAAAAGAGGCAATGAAGGAGGCAGTATGGATTATTATTAACAGCTCAGTTTCCGCTACGCGCAATAATAGTGCTAGCAAAAGGTGGTAATTAAATAAAAACAAATATTAACCTGTTTTCATGCCACAGAAATGATTTTGTAATAGTATCCCATTACGTGATATGTTACTCATAAAATTAGAAGTATGATTTTTTTTCTTTGTTTATTACAGTCTTACTGGTTATAATTGGTTTTGTGGAATTGTTAGCTTTTATTTTTTATATTTTCTTTCGACTATTTTATATTTTTTGGTAACACTATCGCATTGGGTCAGCCTACAATGATAGTTGTGTGCGTAAGTGTAATAAATGAATAAACAAATAAATTAATTAATTAAATATTTAATTGTAGACAACGTGGATGGCAAGAACTGATTTGGAGAAGCCATTTAAACCGCCTTGCATGAATCGTAATTACTATGCGATAATGTAACGTAACAGGACTTTTTATATATTTAGTCATGAACATGTCATACATGACTCGTATTAAGGGAGGGGCGAACAATCCACCTTGCCTATCAAGTATTTGGCTGTCAGCTCAAATATGTTAAGCACTCAAATTATTTAGATTTAAGGTTTAATTAAATTAAGTTTGACATTTATTTTTAATAAATACGTAATTACTCAAACATCCAAAAATATCCAGTTATGTACAATTATTGATCTACAAGAAACTTCTGATTTGCCTACTCTATGCAAATACCTCGGCACGTCTAAACACGATGAATGAATTGATAATAATCAAAATAAATTGCACTGTAAAAAACTATGTATCATTTCTTAAGTATCATGCATATGAAATGTTACATGGTAGGTGTTATATTCAAGTAAATTAACCAAAACGATATCAAATATAATTCCCCATTGTACATCAAGTTACTTAATTTTTTTATTAGAAACTATATGCTCTGCGATTTTCTATCTTTTCCTTCAAAATACACGTGGCTTGAACACTGTCATTCATGTCACCAGAAACCAGCGTATAAATCGGAAATGTTTCACCACAATTGCACTCGGCTATAGGCTGATTGTTTACATTCCTTTATATTGTTTGCTTAATTTTAGTGCCTGCGGTTAGGGGAATGGTGATCTGAGAGTTAATTAACAAAACGCTGTTTAAACAATTTTTTTTGTGAATAGATGGCAAGGGAGCGGGCTACTGGACATGTGCAACACCCGACACAATCAGGCGTTGTGGGTGTAGATCAGGCCCATAAGGGCCTTGCAGATGCCTCGCTTTACCTTTAAAATGTGGCCCGGTTACGCCAATCACCAGACGAAATTATAAAACTTCCACTTCACGCCGGACTTCGTGAGGCCATAATACTCACCCAGACGATCCTGCCCATTCGTGCAACAGCAGAAGCTGCCACTTGGCCCGAACACCAATGCCTTTATTGGGACAACTTTCAAAGGCACATTACTGAAGCTTGCAACGAGATAGTATCTTGTAAATATTACATTAGTAATACTTTCCATATTTACACACAAAACACAACATTCTTAGTGGTTCTGCTATCAACGAAGAACGAAATAATTAAGAAAATCAGTAAAAAAAGAAAAATACGACATAAAAGGTTTTTTTTAAATTATATTAGTCAATTAAAGCATTAACTTTAACTATAAATAGTAGAATAACAACGAATACAATGTTGTTTTAGTTTAATTACTGTGTGAACATTGCCTTACATTGAATAATCCAAATTATATCTGCTATGCACGTATGACTGCACGTTGTTAAATAAAATCAAAGAAGTTGCTGTTTCTTACTCTAAAACAACGCACATACTTCTACATTCTTGTAAGATGAAAAATACACACAATATACATACATACAATAAATATTAAAAGTCAACTTATGGTTAAAGCATATTATACCATTGCGCAATATCTCGACGACGCCAATGTATGAGGTTAATATTGTTTATACTCACGTAAGCTAGAATAAGACTATTATACCTGTATGTTATATTGTAAACTGATATATATATAAAGAGAAACTGCTGAGTTTCTTGCCGGTCTCTTCTCAGCAGAAACTGCTATATATAATTTTTTATGTAAAATTTGACGATTTATAGAACGCGCAAGCGTCTAATTGAATAAAGATATTTTTGATTAAAACTAAATATTGATTGATTACGTATAAGCTGAGCGTTAAAAGAATAAGTAGACGAGTGACTCGAATTGCAGTTTTTTTTGGTTTAAACAAAATGCAATCAACATGCATTACAATAATTACTGTAAGTGTGAGCGTGAGGTCCCGATCCTGAGTAACTTCCTTCAAAACAAAAACTCGTCTTGGTGTCCTAGTCGAGTTTTTGCTGCAAGTTAACTGCAAATCAAAAGTCAAATGAACTTTTGATCAACATAAACACTTGGATAAATATGTGTGTGCGTATGTTCTGAAACACTATACAGATTCACCTGGGTCACGTAGTGGGAAAATAGAATATGGTACCATAACAATATTATGTGGATTTGCAATCACGAAGACCGTAGCGAGACAGCTGATTAGGTTCAATTTACCAGGTTCTAGGTAAAAAAACAAAATATCGGTTCTCGAGTCCAAGTAGTGAAACTCAAATCGCATACACCTCCATTTCCGAGTAAATAAGGACGTTAAATAAATAAAACGTGCGGCAAAACATGCCAATGCTAGTTTTCTTTTGCATATGAACGTGTTAATTGTTGTTTGATTCACATGTGGAAATATTAACACTGTGGGTGGTGCGATTATTTTTCCAACGTCGCAAAGAAACATTACGTAAGATAAGCCGATAAATAGTTAAATTTAAAATTACGTATGGATTTTTGATGATATAATCGAAGTCCCAGTAACTCCCAGATTACCATAAAGATATTAAGACAAATTCATTAAGACTTGTACTAAAGGCACTACCTATATACTATAAGTTTATATTAAATTTTAATTATGCAATATGCTGGCAAGCGAATAGGATTTAATTAGGATGTTAAATGATTATCGCCGCTCATGGATATTTATAACGCCTATAAGGCTGCAGACGCTTCGCCAACCACTAAAATTAAGGACTTCGGTTACCTCACTCACCAGATGAAACGCAAAAGTATAATACTTCCACTTCACGGCGGAGTTCTGTGAGACCGTGATGCTTCTCCCACTATATCGCAAACGTTTAACCATAATAAAACCAACCACACAGTCATTGAAGACAACATCGCAAGGTGTTTCGTGGTAAGAGGTTTATTGTTCGGACAAAAAGGTACTTAATATAGAAGTAAATTTGCAAAAATAAATAACTATACTAGCATTCTGAAGTAACTTAGTAATTGTAGTAACTTGTAATCCCATTATATGGTTGTCGCCGATCCGTGACAAAAGCCAAGGTTGTAATAAAATCCTTTTCGGACGTTACTTGATCCCTTTGAGAATTAGGCGCTAATGTTTCCTTTGATTCTATACATTACGGAACAAAATAGAATTGTACAATTTCAGAACAATATACATACATCCTGTGTTTATAAGAACTGACAAATAGTCTCTTTTTAACACGATAATGCTGTTAAAGGTACCTTCCCGACCTAAACAAATCAGCACTTGTGAATGAGCTTCTACATCTTCTTACTTTCTTTCAGCGAATTTGAAAGAATTAGCGATACTTTTATCGATATTAGAGGAGTGGGATAATATGTTTGCATGAAAAAAAAAAAAACAAATTATTAGATATTTTTAATAATTCATTTAGTGGTCCCTGGCTCATCTTCTACTTTATGTTTTATTGTTAACAAACATAAACTTTTATCAGAGCAGATAATAATAATACAGTTTATTTTAATGTTATACTTACTAAAGAGAAAATCCTGTTTTATTATCGTTCGAAGTTTCAACACGTTCTCTTTTTTGATCGTGGGAGTGTTTGTCTCTAGATAGAATTATATTAACCATACAATGATCATTCAATTACTAAAACTAATATACCGAACGAACAAAAGACAAAGGATTTAAGGTTGTGGCCTTGTAAAAGTTACGTTTAAATGTTACGATAAATTATTATTGAAAAGGCATTAAGTTTATAAATGAAGCTCATGGTTTCGAATGCATCAAGCGGAAGAGTTTCCGCGATTTGAAACGAGTTTTGATAAAAACACGGAAATGGCAATAATATGAGGAAACAACAAAAAAAAAAGGTTAAGACGCCTAAAGACAGTTACTAATTCGTGACTGGTGGTAATGTTTTTTCAGTTATTTCGATCGAATCGAGGCACATAGATGTTATTTATAGTAGAACCACCTTATTCATTATAACGTTGAATCTTTCAACAAAATTTTAACTAAATTATGTGACAATTTATTACTTATAAAGGTTTGCGTAAAACATTCGCAAGTTCAAGAGACAGAATGGCGAACGCAGAACTAGATTTGAATTTAAATATGAAAAATAATTTTAATTTTTAATTACTCCTGCGTCCATATTTAGTACCAATTTACGGCCAGCAATTAAACGGTATTAAAATATTTTTCTTATAATAAACAATTCAAAGCTTAAATAGAAAGAAGTATTGTATGGTTTACGTAACTAAAGTTTTTTAAGCTGTTTTCGCATAAAAATAATTATTTAAATCGCTAAAATCAACAGAAAAGTGTGAAAACTGAACAAATTGTATTATTATTCACACTCACAAACTGTTAAGTTTTGTCATTTGTTTAGCTTTTTGCTTATAATTAGTGACTGTTTGCAACATTTCATACTAGAAATGTAAACACACAACATTAGCGCGGACATGTATAAAATTTGAGAGTAGTTAAAAAACTAACCTGGAGGTGAAAAACCAGTAGAGGATCGCCGTGAAGATGGCGAGCTCGGCGGCACCGCTGGCCACCCTCACATGCTCCACCACAGTCCACACGCTAATCATCGTATCCATTTCCGAACAGTTACCACCGACGCCGGTCACTACATCACCGACCGTCCAATTGTAAAACAAACTTGGCCGATCAATTTTGAACGGTCGACGTATACACCGTTTCCAATTTTCAAACTTGGTTTACCCTCGGACACGGAAAATTCGAGAAAAGAACAACGGTAGCGTTCACGAGAGCTTCAAAGGAATTCACTAGGGGCGCTGCGATCTATGCAAGACTTCTAGTTTGAGATACTTGTCGATTACAATTTCGGGTTTCTCAATAAATGGGACGTGTCGATTCGCCGAGTGACGGAGCACTACTGAATGCCGATCCAATTGACCGATGCTGGTGTCAACAAAGAGGCGACCGTTCGAATTCTGTCCGGCGTTCAGGCTGAGGAGGGAGTGGGTGGCGTGACAGATAACTTGGACACTAGCTCATCACTCGGTATCGGAGTGAAAATAATAATTAATACGACCTAATTGCCGCCCGATAAGAGTATACACAGACCAAAGTTCACGTGATGCTACAAAGGGTATAATTATACGAAGGCGATGAAGATACGATACTATACGGTCATTATAATTACAGGTAGGAGACAGACAATAAATGTGACGTCTTTAGAATGTAACTTATAATTTGGTACAGAAATCATGTTTCAATTTCAAACAGTTTATCGCACAGGTAATTTGTCCACGGTCATTAAGAATGTTAATTAAATTATTGTCGGGAGGATACGCTATCATATACAGGTTTTCGTCACGTGCAAGTTATGAGTCAAAAATTCAACACATTCCACTGAAGGAGAATATTAAAACAGCAACTCATTTTCGATACATAATCATTGGATGGATAAAAAACGTTCGGCACTACAAATTTAACGGATAACATAAATATAAAATAAGAAGCAGATACTTTTACATAGACAGCTCAAAATTATAGACCAATTAATGGACTAGCATGATATCTATATGGCTTTTTTAATGGGCGTATTATGGATATTATCATTATGGACCCAAAGTCAATTTTAAGGTACCTTATAGTAAAAAAGAAAATAACAAAAACTACGCTTAGTTCTGAACTAAATGATAAGGACTTGGGCGAGGATATTTCTGTCATTAACTGTAGTATAGAAATTATGGACAGAAATAATCGAGTACTGACATTATTCACATTTGTCATTTATTCCGGTTTTCTTTGTAAAATTCTTTACCGAAATATATAAATCCATTTTGTGAAATATATAGTGTCATTTAGTGATATTAGTTTTAGTTGTAAATAGTTTAGGACAGCCTGGGCGATATTAGCAAACAGATTGAAGATATTATTGGAAAGGGCAAGGAGGGCATTAGTGCATATATGGATAGTTAATTATAAATAGTTCTGCGTTGGCAGTAATAGTTAAATAAATGTTGCAACATTGCGATACTACTAAAGTTTATTAGATAAATCAATAGAATTTCGGATGAGGCATCATGATAAGGGCCAACAACGCTAATATTTGGCTATGAAAATCTTCAGATAAGTTCACTTCCCACTCGTAAAAAGGAAAATAACTGTTGAGCTATGAACAGCTCATACATAAATCAAACGGTCGTTTTGCAAAACACCAAATGAGATACGGGCAATGCGTAACAACGTTGCAAAACCAAGGACACTGACATACTGCCACAGAAAGAAAAAGAAATATCTTGATACTGTTCTTAACATTCACACGGTCGTGGAATATTGGATCATCGGTATCGCCGAGCTATAATTTCGTATGAAACCGTAAGAAGAGTGATCTGTTTTTTCCAACATCCATAGTTCGCGCATAATCATTCACTTCTTTATCCATATAAATATTTGTGCGAGCTTTGGCGCGTTTCAAAATGAGTTAGATATAACATTATTTGGATGATCATAGACGAAAACTCTCCCTTTGATGGGCATGTAGACCTACAGGTTGCAAAAGCTTGTTCTCAAAGACAACGTTCATTTTTTCAATTCAGGCTTGTTTCGAGCTAATATTAACGTCAAGAAATACCACCGCTCACTAATTTTGAACAATACGGTGAAAAAAAGCTAATAAACTCTGTTGTTATTTTTGTTATTTATTATTTAGTTGTATACATTGAACGCAGGTGACGTAATATGTGACTTCAATTCAGATAGATCTAATTAATGGTTATTAAGCCATTTAACTTAATATATTATCACGTAAAGAGAAGAATATTTAAGAATTTTGTTAAGGAAAGTATTCACCCACATAATATATTAAAGGAACATTAATTCCGATACCGATTGCAAAGAGGAACTTGTCGGCAGCCAAAAGTTTTAAACGAAAGTTTTAAATTCGATTACTCTGCTTAAAAACAATAAATTAAATAGTTTTAAATTTAGTAAGTAAACTGTAGCCGGAAAGTTTCGTTATGTAAATAAAGTTATGATTTAATAAAATCTAAAATGTAGATAAAAAATCATAAACAAACTGTATACTCAAAAATTTCTTTTAACTTACCTAATATAACATAAATATTTGAAACAATTCAAACACCAAAATCAATCAATTGCGTATCGTAATCTCGAATGTAACTAACGATTATAGAAAGTCAATACTACACTGCCAGGACTCGACTCTACTATGAATTAATAATATTGGCCATCTATTGGTTTTATGTCTGAAACTTGCGCTGCGGTATTTTCTTCTCTAATCAATTGCTCAAAATTGTTCAATACTTGAGCTATCGTAATTTAAACATACTGTTGTAATGAGTAGCGCTGAGACTGAACTCGCCGTAATCGTATTATAAATGTACAGCGTGTTATTATGATACAACTGAACAATTAATATGTCAATCAGGTGTCTAAAAGTTCGGCCTGCGCATATGCTCAGACCGATGGCACGAATAACCCATAGGTAAATGGGTAAAGTGTCCACCTGTGTAGTCGTTCGTTATGTATGAACATGTAACACAAATTAACAAACACTTCGTCAGTTGCGAACAATTAGACCGTGAACGCGCTGATACGGTATACAAATTTCGCAATGAAATGCTCTACATATCATCTCTACTTCTTTCAAGTCAGCTCGGACCCCGGCGAATCGCGTGCCCCGAAAGTGAAATCGACATTGCAGAATATCAGGGAGCAAAACCCTCCGCCGCTCAAACACAGCAAACTTTACCTTTAGGCACTGATCACAGGCTATGCGTATGCACGAGCACACAACAGTAGATCGAAGGGGATTATTCGGAAAACGCACTATATAACGGACGGAAGAGAAACGAAAGATTTTACATAACAGCGTTGCGATACGTCAACGGTGTCCGTGGTTGACGCCAGCCCACGCGCGCGGTCGACGAAAGACTGAAGAGTGCCGCTAGTCGATTGCCAACACGACTTTACCGTATCGAAAGCGCGACTCTGTACTCTACACATGGACTGTCGTTCATTGCCGGCTTTGTTCAATTCACAGAAGGGCCACGTGCTATTCAAGACGCGATAACAACAAGAACAATACGCTCTACACTCACTATGCAAACCGATTAAACAAACATAAGCCGAGCAATTCCCGCGTTACGTCTTTATTAACTCCCAAACGTGACTTATGGTGTGACCGTATCGTGAACTAAAGAAGCCTCCGTGTCGTCAGTCATATAACTTTTGATGATGGACTGTACCCAAGGTTTTCAGATACGTCTGTAATCTGGCCTACTCTCGTATGTTATAAAATTCCATCATATATTGATGTAAACAACTTATCGCAGGTAAATAAAATATAAATAAATGTCTAGTTATTATTATGAATAAGAATAACTAGACATTTAAGTAAGTTACTTGTCATTCTTGAACTTCTTCTTCTTCTTTCTCCTGGCCTTATCCCACACTAGGTGGGGTCGGCACATGTCCTTTCCTTCCACTTTTCTCTATCAGCCGTTATCTCAATACTGTCTCATTTCACAGACATATCATTCTTCACACAGTCCATCCAAATGTTTCTAGGTCTTCCTCTAGCTTTGCACGCTCCAACCACATTCTTATTCATCACTCTTCTGTTCACATGAATTTCATCCCTCCTCATAATGTGCCCATACTATGTCAACCTCTCCTTACACTTGGCATTCTTAAACATGCTCCTAAATTACGTTCGTTACGTTCGAATCTCGAACTAAGTATTCGGTATTAATTATACCTCAATGTTTGAAGACTAATAAAGTCTTCAATCAATGTGTGTTGCCAGTGAGTCTTCAATCAATGTGTGTTATGGAACAGAGAAAATATTTATAATCGGAAATAATTATTTCTTCACTACAAATATTTGAAATAAAATAATTTACGGTAAAATACTTAATACTAAGTATCGGAAATTTAAACGATCAATGTCATGTTTCACAAATTTTATTTGTTTTCTATGCAGGTTCCAGTACGCGACCTCCTGTACGTTGTTAAATAAAACTGTTTTTACATATATTAAACGTTTTTTATTAAAGAAACTGAGAACGATAATACCCATAAGTGTTGTAATGTAAGTATACATACAAAAAAATTGTCACTGAGCAATAAAATCATAGTTACGGACATAGTTGAGAGAATTTTGAAGGTGAAATTCTATGAATCTCGACAATCCTTGAAAAGCAATAAAAAGTCAATTTATTTGGTTTTATTTTACACTATAAAATGATGTAATGATTCTCACTTTTATGAAAACGACTGTGTAAATACTGTTAGTTCTAAAGTAAAGAATAATTAGATATTGTGACGTTAACACATTAGTAGTATTCATTTGTCTTTTCGTATTTGTAATGGAAAATCCAAATGTAAAAGATCGATAGTTGTTTGTTATTTAGATTGGTTTAAATAATCAAATCTATTTGAACTTCGCAAGAAAATTTTTATTAACAAAAACAAATACAATTTCACATATCTCATTAAAATCAAATAGACTGTAATGAAGTGAGGCGATCCCTGGCTAATTTTCGGAGTCCAAGGTCCAATATCAATTAAAATTATATGGGGTCACATGGGAGCTAGCCTAACT